TTGGTCTGTATATTATGGCAGAATATGGCAAGACAATACAGTTTTAAAAATCTCCTTGTGAAAATCTCTTTTTAGATGTTATTGGCAGCTCGACTAATTTTGAGACAAATTAAACAAAAATGACATTTTTAACAGCTGTAATGGTTAATCATTGAATGTTTAACCAATGGTTAAATAGCCTATTGATTTATAAGTCCATAAACTCTTGTCAAGTGTCATAATTTTGCAAGTTTTAAAATTTTGGATAAGAGTTTATTACTTTATTCTATTAATTAAATATTAACTTTAGTTTTAATAATGTAAAATGTTTTGGGATTTCAAAGCTCTATATTGGCGGTTGATGAAATACTCAAAACTTAAACCTGACCAAGCAAAACATGTTATTAAATCTCTTAAGAGACACTGGGTACATAGATTTAAATATTTTAATGATGTCTTTAAAAGATGAAATTGTAAAAAAACTAAATATGGTAAAGAAGCAGTAATTAACTCTAAGGCCTGCAAATCATGCGATAGAACAACAAAGTATTTTTTTGTTTAATAATGATATTTCACTGTCTCTACTTAAAACTGACCATAGTTTTAAACTTTCTTATCTTAAACGCAAATTGTACAATGGATAAGTAGAATGGGTCAAGAATACAATTGAGACATGAAATGACCTAAATGATTGGAATGCTATAAAATTATTTCCGGAAAACATTATGCATGTTTGTAATGCTGCCTTTGTTTCAAATTTCATTTCATATTACCATCTTACCACATTTTAATATTATTAAATATTACTCAATAGAATTTCAGGCAATAAAGAAAAAAGAAAAAATTAACAACTTTCTTGTGTTAAACAGATGTAAGCGAAAGATCAAATAATAAAAAAAATTAAAATGTAAAGACAATCCTGTCTTTTTTATTAAAAAAAATTACAAAAACAACTAGTAAACTTAGAAATGAATTATATTAAATATGATTTATACATACAGCTTTTTCAACAAATGGATTTTATCCATTTGTTGATGCATTTGTTGACCTTATATTAAATTTACACACACACACACACACACATATATATATATATATATATATATATATATATATATATATATATATATATATATATATATATATATATATATATATATATATATATGCATACAAATGTATATACACGTTTTAAGTTTTTAGATAGCAATTTTTAAACTATATGTAGATAGTTTAATAATGTATAATTTCACTTTGTAGCTTGCTTATACATCAATATAGTCTATATGTAGTAGGTATTGATAAAAATTTTATTTTTGCAGCAAACTATGATATAAAGTTTGAATATGTATGATAGCTTTATATCGTAGCTTTGTAACTATAAACATTGTTAATATTTGAATAAAGTATATTAAATGTCTTAGGAAAGAAATTTAAATTAAAAAAAATAAACTTGTAGAAAACATGCAATTTTTACAAGCACTATAACTAAAATTATTATTTAGAAACCTTTTGTTTAAATAATATTACTAAATATTTTTTACCTATTTGACACAAAAAGCAGCAGTAGTTTACAAAATGATTTTTACCTATCTGACACAAAAATGGCAGCAACTGTTTACAATCTGAAATATCCCAATACATGTCTTTTTGAATTTTCAGGCAACCACTTTGTTTTGCTATATTAGGTTTTACCATTTTCCATCGAGTACCAAGCAATTTTTCCTGATTAATCCATACCCATTGAGCTTGAATGCTATCATAACTAGCACCAATCCAATAAACTTTTCCTTTATTTTTTAATAAAATGTCTTGTAAATCAGAATTTTCATCAGTTGCTAAATGCCCTCCATGAATTTGACATTGTTGCTTTGCAGTTTCCCATTTCATATTTATATCAAAAAATTTATAATAATAGCCACTGTTCCCTTTTTGAAAACCACCTGAAATATCCAAAAAAGCACAATAGTGAAAAAGCAATATTAATAAACTAATAACTAAAAAATCAATAATAATTTATACCAGTGCTACCACTTGAAATAATTAAATTTCTAATAAATCCTTTTAAAGTTTTGTGCCAAGGATCAGATGCATAAACCTTAACATTCTGAAAATCTTCAGCTTTAGTATTAACAGTAGAAAAGATAGTTGTCTTGTTCAGCTTGATGATATAAATATATTGAGCATAAAAAAGCTTTTGTGATATTTGAATACTAGACCATGTGTTTAATGGAAACAAATCATTATATAAAAAAGCATTATCAGCTGAACCATTTATTGCAGAAGAAATATAAAATGAATCGTTTTTTGGGAAAACTCCAGGTATTCTGTCCCCATACCTTTCTTGATTTCCCCCAGGTGTTAGATGAATAACATTTTGCCAAACGTTGTCAAAAAAAAGTGGATAAATATCAAATGAAACATAAAATTCCTTATAAATAGTTCTGATAGATGCAATTTGATTGTTAGTTTGTGAAACAAAATCCTGGCCAATAAAAAAGTTGTCTATAAAAATAAACAATGTAAAAATTTCACCAACTGTTTTACGTTTTTACTCATATAGCTTGTTTTTTAAAAACTTTACAAACCTCTGCAAAAAATAGCTTTATTTAAAATTTTGTAACCACTCTTGCAAGTACAGATGACATACTTTTTATTTTCAAATATACACATTTCATTAGCTGGTTGGTCGCAATCCAAAGAAATACATGTTTCTAAATATTAGGTTTTGCAAGTAATCAATAAAAGTTATATATATATATATATAATTCTTAATTATATATTTTAAGTCATTAAATAAAAATAATATTGCGAATAAAAAAAAAAAGTTGAAAAATAAAAATAAACTTATAAAAAATAATAAAAGTTAAAAAGCAAAAATAAACTAATGAATAGCACGCAAATAGTGTTAGCTTAAGTAAGTTGAAATCAAATAATTATAAAGAGGTATAAAAAAAGGTCCCCAATTCTTATTGTTATTACTCCTATATATTAACGTTACAACTAAAAATCTGGACAAACTTTATAGCTTCAGTTTATATGTCTAACAATGTTTTATAATTTATTAATTTGCCTATTATGTTGCAAATTTATTTCTCTACTATATACCATAGTCTTTTTATTTTCAGCACTTAATTACAAATCTAAAAGATTTAAAAACCAAAAGGCACTCCGCAAATAAATGTAGAAAATGTCCCAAAATCAATCATGTACGATATAATGTAACAAAATGATACTAATATAGAAACAAAAAGAAAAGGTGGAAGTGGTCGGACTGTGAATAAAATGCCTAAGAAACAGATTAAACGCCTAAAAAATTTGATTGATTAGAAGGATGGTATTTCACAGCGTGGTTTAGATAAAAGATTCAATGACATTGAATCTTTGACTGGGAAATATTAACAACCGAATCTTTTACTGGGAATCTTTTACTGGGAAACACTAACATTGAATCTTTTGTTGCTAAACATTGACAATGTTTCCCAGCAGTATATATCCAAAATTATCAACAAAAAGACGAGCATTTGTAAAAAAACTAAAGAGCCAAAAAGAACATTGACTCAGAAAGCTACTGTGTACTGCCGAAAATTAGTTGCACTTTTCCGGAAAAAAATTTGTGATAATTGACAACGAATCGTGTTTTCTTTTGTTCAACACACAGCTTACTGTCAACGTTGGATATTATACTTAAGATCCCAAAATAGTAATTACCTAACGAAGTCAAACTCAAAAAAAAAAAGCAAATATGGCAAAAATTATTAATTTGGATATAATTGACAGAGAATAAGATCTCAAACCATTACACCAATCCTTCGGATCAAGCAGTCGACAAGGGTGTGTACATTTTCAAATGCCTGTTTAAGTTAAAGAAATTCATAAACAAAGTTCATATAAAAAACAAAATTGTGTTACAGACATTAACTCTGCTATGGTGCCCGAATTGCGCCCAATCAAGGATTTGGAGTCAAAATAAAAGATTGTTTTTTTTTTTTTTTTTCACATCTTTGCTTCCAACAAGGCTACAAGCAACCACTGTTACAGTTAGAAGTTACTGGAAGAGAAAAGATGTAGATTGTAGAGCAAGATAACAACTGACAGACAACTTAATAGATTGCAAATTATATGAATCAGGAAAGCAAGATGATGGAATGGAAGAAACCCTGGCAAATTCAAAAGAACTGATGTTCGAAGAAAAAAACTAAACGAATAAGAGTTTTTGGAGCATTTAAAGGCAGTTACAAAAAAAGGATGAGACTTAATTGAATGATGAGTAACACAAGAATGAACGTTAGTAGATGGCACAACAGAGATTAGCTATTTAGAACAGTGCCTACTATAGTAGTTGTATAAAAAGTAGGAACATTACGACAATATTTAAATGGTTGGCTGCAAGAGCAGGTCCAATTATGTTTACAATGCGTTTTAGCACCTTGTCTATAAGAAAAAGGGCATCATTAGAAGATTGGCCCCAGATTTATCAACAGTATTCCATACAAGGCCGAATTTGAGATTTATAGAGATAGAGAATAAAATCCGGAGTAAGAAAGTGTCGAGCTCGATAAAGAAATGCAACTTTAACAGATGCTAATTTTGCAACGGATTTGATATATGGTTTCTAAGAAAGATAGGAAGAAAAAGTTAATCCTAGAAAATGAAGACTCACTGATTACATATGTAATATTGGTGTAATAATATGTTTTATTCGTGTAGAAAGACGGGGAACGTTCGACAACTTAGCTGGTTTTTATTAATTTACAAATAATTTTTTTACCAAAAACATTTAAATTTTTTTAGCATTTCAAGTAATGGTCTTAAACCAACAAATTAAAAAGATAATGTATATAAAATATTGATTTTTTTTAAATCTACCACTGTTATAAAAGTAAGCTTCAAATTAGTCGAATGTACCCCTCCGGTGGGGTACATACGACCACCTAGAGGGGTACTTTCAAACATATCATTATTGGCAAAATAATAAATCTATAAGCTTTCTTTCTTATAAATGTTTTGGTTGTACAATAAAAGCTTTCCACGAAATATTTAAAAACTAATATTAACAGCTGTTTTACAACAAGATTTGCGAAGTTATATCAAAATAAAAATTACGTTGCCGTTTTTTCCGTCATTGTTGGAGTCGCAGACTTTAAAAGCGTTTTTTTTCAGGTTGATGACTTTTCTCCTTTTTTTTAAAACTTTTTCCAAATGAAGTTTTTCAATCTCTTCCTTTTCAGGAATGTTAGCATATATCGTTGACTTGATTTCCTCTTTATTTATATTGTCTGTGAGAAGCTTTAGGCAAGGGTTGCACATGTTCTAGAATCAGTTTTTAATAAATCAATTTTTGTTAGAGTTATTGTAGTAGTTGCAGGAGTAATGTATTTTATTGGTAGATAAGAGTTGTAATTTATTTTGTAATGGTGTTCCTATATGTTTCTATATTTTTTTGTTACCTATTTTTGAGGCATCTAAAAGATAAAAGAAATAAATTGTTGTGGTATTTTCAAGCACCAGTCGAATGTTCCCCAGCTAGGTAGGTCGAACGTACCCCATACGTGTTATATATAAACAAACGCTGTTAAAAGCCGATATCAGTTTTTTAAAGTAAACCAAACACAAAGGTTTTCAACTCAAGATAACAATAAACAACAAATATAACAATAAACAACATAACAATATAACAAGAAACAACAAAAATAAAATACAACATAACAATATAACAATAAATAACAAAAATAAAAGATAAATAAAAAATAAACAACAAAAAAGTTTAGAAGGTTAAAATTGGAAAAGAGATTCTCTGCGGGTTATTTAAAACATAAAAAAATTACCTTTTGCATCATTAATTTGATTTTCTTTTATATAAGTACTAATACTAATAAAGATGGATCGATCCTTATTTCACGCGATAGCTCATTACCAGACAAAACATGGATAAAATTTTTTATCCATGTTTAGTCAAATTTCCCAGCATGATCAAAGTAGTAACTTTGATCATGCTAGGAAATATTTGAAAAGGTTGAATATTCCCCATGGTCGAATGTTTCCCGTCTTACCCTATTGATATGTAATATTTGTGTATTAATATGTAAATTGTCAATATTTTTTGACAATTTTCTTTTTAATGTCATAATACTTTTGTTATCTTTTTGACTTTTCTGGTACCCAAATTTTCTGATAATATCAGAAGACATATCATACAATATTCTATTTGAAATCTTAGTTGGCATAGGTTTTTAGCTCGTCAATCGTCTCTTGTGCCATCACTTTAGTTCATTCTCGTGTTGCCCATTATAGTGTTTGTAGAAAAAAAAAAGAGATGCAACATCACGACGATAAAAAAATAGCAAAATTAGAAGATACGCCCAAGGTATAGCTACAGTATTCAATACAAGGCCGGATTAGAGATTTGATAAAGAGATGCAACCTTGGCAGATGCTAATTTTGCTACGGATTTGATATATGGTTTCGTAGTAAAATCGGAAGTAAGAGCTAATCCTACAAGATAAAGGGTAGATGACTTATCGCAATAATTACTAAATTATGACTTATTGCAATAATTACTAAATTATTGCGATAACAATTGGATAAAAAAAATTGAGTTTTATCTGAATTAAAGTTCACTAGCCACTTTGAACCCCACGCTGCAGCAGAAGTGAAATCTTTTTCAAGCTCAAATTCCCCCTCAAAGCAATCAGAGAGTATTGATTTTTTATCATATTATGAATAAATGGTCGTGTCATCAGAGTACAATGCTACCTTAGATGTGAGAATATCTGGAAAAACGTTAATATAAATGTAAAAGTGTATAGGGCCGAGTATTGAACCAAGGAAGCTCTGAAGTTATAGGATATGAAGAAGAGCGCCATCCGTCGAGGACAATTTTTATACTGCAATTCGAAAAGAAGAATTGAATATTCTTAAAGATGTTAACAGACACACCGTAAAGATAAAGCTTATGGAGAAGACACTTTATCAAAGGCTTTAGATATGTCAAAAGCAATGACCTTAACCTCTCCAACTTTATCTAATGCCTATTTGAGTTAGGGTTTGATAAAAGCATTAGTTGTAGGATTTAACGCCTGGAGAGTCACTGACTCTAGAGTTAAGCCATTCAGTGTGATGAGCATTAAATTCATCAACATCAATATTGACTGATCGATAAAGAGATAGGGCTTGGTCAATTTTATCAGAAACAACATCAGAAAGAGTGTAGTCTTGAAATAAAGTAGAGCATATAGAATAAAGGTGGTAGAGTGAAGTGGTGCTAAACAAAAGCATATAAAAGAATAGTTTGTGGATTCAAACCTTGTTTCCCGAATGAGTGAGTTCTTACAAATTTTAATGCCCAGGCCAAGCATTTGACTATTGGAGTCTTAACAAATTAAAGGAAGATAATCATCAACACTGAGATTGTAGGATGAGACAGCTGAACTCAAATTTATCTCACAAAGAGCAAGTAATTCCTGCTACTGGTATTATGTAACACAGTACAATCTGCTTCATGTCCTGCTGCTTTGTAGGACACGCCTTTTTAGTCAAAGGCTAGGAGATGCCAACTCCGAAATAAAACATCTTCTGCCTTAGGGCTCTTGGTTGTCTCATTAAAATACTCATCTTGGGCAGATGTTAAATGCATCCGGCTGCTGTCTTGTAGAAGGCCTCCTAGGCAAAAACTTACAGGGTAAACAGATTCTATCTGTTGAACAGCCTTACACCCCTTCTTCATTCATCTAGTAGGCTGGCGCAGATGTATTTTTAATACATTGTTTCCAGTTTAAGATGTTGAATGTTGGACCTTATTGTCTCAATGCATGGGTTTTGCTTGTGTCTCTAACTAGGCAACTCATTCTATTATCTCCTAATAAGAATACAGCTCTAAAACTCAGTTTTATGGTTCTGAGGTCGGCTGGTAGTCACGTTTTCCGATCTCTGTAGTAGCTCTCAGAGAGGCTGATTCCATCAACAGCTGAAAAATATCAAATTATTAACAGTGCCATATTGCACATGGATGGTGTTTTTGTTTGTACTTTTGTTGCACATTGCCAATGTCACATAGGAGCCCTTTGTTACGGCTTAGGGTTTATTAATTGTATTGAGACAATTGCTTGGGCTATTAAACAGTGTACTGAGAACTATCTATGCTTCAATTCAAGTTCTTTAACAAGTTTAAAAATAAATTGAGTAACAAAAAGTAAGAAACACAAAAAACCATTGCCATCACCAAATTGTCTAAACCTATCATTCACTATAAGTCGTTTTCTTCGAAGTAACTTTTCTTCTGTTTAGGCTTATCTCTTGCAAATTTCACCGGACCAACTTGTTTTTTTTGATAATAATTATAGTTCAGGTATCCCTTTTTAAGATCTTGGTTTTGATGGTTATCTTCTTTTAATTTATAATGACTCGAATAGCCCCATGTTTGGTCTGGGCATTTACATTCGTAAGAATTCACCCATTTGTCGGGAAATTAGGTTTGAACCCACAGACTACACTTTTATTTGCTTTTGTTTATCACCCCTTCACTCTATCGCCTTTCTCTTTGTTCTATATATATTTCTTTTATCTCAAGACTGAACTCTTCTTGCTGTTATTTCTAATCATATTGACCAAGCCCTCTCTATTTATTCATCAGCCAATATTGTTGTTCTCGGTGACTATAATGCTAGTCACACTGAATAGCTTTGCTCTAGTTTCAGTGACTCTGCATGAATTAAAACCAAAAATGTTTGCCTTTCTCAACCCTTTACTCAAATAGTCGACCTTTCAACTAGCTTTTCAGACAACCTGAAGAGGTGGGATTACAAGTCTGTAATTCCACCTCTCTTTTACACTTCAGATTTGGTAAAATTTAGACTTTGTCACCTCACCTAAAGACAAAGCTCACTTATTTGCTAAGAACTTTTCATCAATATCGTCTATTGAGTCCACTAGTTGCATTCTACCTGATATAGCCGTCAAACAGATCAATCCATTGCTTGGCATTTATATCACTTTAGCTTCTGTATCTAAAGTGATTTCCGTCATAGACTCTTCTACAGTTTATGACCCGGACTACATACCTGTTATAGACTTGCAGAAGTGTTTTCCGGAGCTGTCGTCTGTTCTATCAAAACTATTCAAAAAGTGCTAATCCAAGTCTAGCTTTCCAGCCTACTGGAAAGCAACATCTGTTATCCCTATTTTTAAAAATTCTAGAGAGCAATTCCGATTCATCTAACTACCGTCCTATTAGTCTTCTTCTTATTATCTGCAAAGATTTTGAATCTTTAATTAATGAACACTTATTTTCTCATCTTGAACTTAATAACTTACTTTCTGATCATCAATATGGATTTCAATCTTCTCGTTCTACGACTGATTTGCTAACAGTATTAACCGATAGGTTTTCTCGTGCAACAGATAGAGGTGGAGAGGTTAAGGCCATCACTCTTGACATTTCTAAAGTGTTATATAAAGTTTGTCATGCTGATATTCTCCATAAGCTTTCTTCTTGCGGTGTATCTGGAAACATATTTAAGTTTAGTTTAATTCTTCTTTTCCAATCGTAGTTTAAAGTTTTACTTGATGGTCAGCACTCTTTTTCTTATTTTGTAACCTCAGGGGCTCCTCAAGGTACAGTTCTTGGCACAATGCTCTATTTAATTTACATTAACGATCTTCAAGATATTCTCTCATTTTAAGTAGCATTGTTCGCTGATGATACTACCATTTATACTTGTCATGATAAAAAGCCAACACATTTGAACTTGAAATCGATCTCACTTTCGCTACAACTCACAGTGGCTGGTGAACTTTAACTTAGATAAAACTCAATTTTTGTCTTCCAATTGTTATTGCAATAATTAAGATCTTCCTATATTTATGAACAATAATGTAGTCGGTTAGTCATCTACCCTTCATCTTCTAGGATTAACTCTTACTTCCAATCTTTCTACAAAATCATATATCAAATCCTCAGCAAAATGAGCATCTGCCAAGTTTGCATCTATTTATCAAGTCGACACTTTCTTACTCCGGATTTTATTCTATATCTCTATAAATCCCAAATCCAGCCTTTTATAGAATACTGTAGCCATATCTGGGAAGACCTTCTAATAATGCTCTTTTTTTATAGACAAGGTGCAAAAAAGCATTGTGAAAATATTTGGATCTGCTCTTGCATCTAATCTTCAACTATTTTTTTATCGTCGTAATGTTGCATCTACTTCTTATTTCTACAAATGCTATAATGAGCCACACGAAAATGAATTTAAGTAGATGACACAACAGACGGTTGAGGAGCATAAAATCTATGCCATCTAAGATATCGAATAGAATATTGTATGCAAAATTATTTAAAATTGTGTATATAGGCTTGGGGCGAGTACCTTTACAAGAGTTGACCGTGTTCAGCAAAATGGTAAACAAATTACTTTTTCTTTATTATATAAAATACAAACTTTTTATTATTTTGCCTTCTAAATTTAAAAGATTTAATAACTCTATTTAAGATATATTAAATTTCCAAAGTTTGTCTGGGATTTTTGTTGCAACATGTAATCATAGGGCAGTTACAAATAACTAGCAACCCTAACCCTAACCCCCACAACTAGATTTTTATAAAACCTATCTCAATGGAATTTGAAGGAGCTTTTTTTATTTAATTAGGGGTTAGTTTTGAAAATATTAGGTATGATAACCGCTGTCATTTAGGAAAAGTAGCGGGTTATAGAAGCGGTATATAGATTTCTATACAGCCTTTGACAAAATTGTTTTTAAAGATTGTTTTTTCACACCTCTTAAACCTTTCTTACCTTTCACACCTTTAATATATAATTTTAAAATAATTAATACATTATATATATATATATATATATATATATATATATATATATATATATATATATATATATATATATATATATATATATATATATATATTCAAATACAAATTTAAGTCTTATCAATATGGTTCAAAAGTTACATTTTTTTTTAACTATTCTCTCTTTTAAAACAATTACCGATTCGTAATGGGCTCAACCAATCTTTTTGGATAGGTTGCACAACATCACTCTGTCTGGGAAGACGAACTCCAAGGGAAAAGCAGTTAGCTGGTTTCATAACAGAAAACAATGCTTCTATATAATATATATTGTTTTCTTCCATAAAAACTGGTACAGAACTTGACATATCTGTAACTCTAAAATTAATTCTAATTAATTTACTCCAAAATAATATTTATAATAATCTAAAACCTTCTCCTACCCCCTAACCTTATTTTAAATTAGAAGTTTTACATGAATTTTTTTTTTCTATTTTGTTAATTTTCAATGCAGCAAATCTACCCTAATGCGTACATATATATATATATATATATATATATATATATATATATATATATATATATATATATATATATATATATATATATATATATATATATATATATATATATATATATAATATATATATATATATATATATATATATATATATATATATATATATATATATATATATATATATATATATATATATATATATATATATATATACATATATATATATATATATATACAGTAGCTTTCATAAATTTAGACGCATACATTTTTTTTTTCGTATATGTAAGAAAATACTCAAAATAAAACCTTAATTTACCTTAATTTTTTTTTTACAGGATGTTTATTACTCATTCTATACCGATTAACACAAAAAAGTTAATTGATAAGCTTGATTTTATTTTGTTCATAAATTTAGACGCACAACCAAAAAAGGGTCATATCTTGTTAATTGATAGTTAATTAGTAGTTTTTTCCCCATATTTCTCATTAACAGGCCTAAAGTAATTGATTTTGTCAAAAACCTTATATAAATATGACTTACCTGGAATTAGTTAATCATTATTTAATAAATAAACAAAAATTAAGTTAGTTTTGCACTAAAAAGACGCAAAAAATGGGCAAAAGACGTATCACTCAAGATGAAAGATGGCAAATTATTGCGCACATCAAAGAAGGAACCAAAAGTAATAGAAAAATTGCCAAGTTAATTGGAGTTTCTAAGAAATTCGTTCGGACAACGAAACAAAACTTTCTTCACACTGGTGGTGCCAGCGAGAAAACGAGGCCAGGTAGACCCTTGTCAACCACCAGAAAGGACGATAGTGTTCATTTTAGAGCTGTCAGAGCTAATCCAAGAATTAGTTACAAAGAATCAACCACAGAATTCAATACAACGCGAAATACATCTATTTCTCAAAGCACAGTCCCCCGAATACTTATCAAATACAAGATTGGAGTCTTCACTGCTTTGAAGAAACCGCATCTGCGTCCATATAATAAACAAAGGAGACTAAAATGGTGTCGTGAAAGAAGGTATTGGACAATAGAACAATAGGAAAACATTATGTGGAGTGATGAGAGTAACTTTGAGCTTATCAATCGCAAATCTAACATAACAGCTCATGAAAAGTATTACGCCAGGTACATTAGACCGACTGTACAAAGTTGAGGAGGCTCGATAGGAATCTGGTCATGCTTCAATTACAAAGGTGTTGGTATGTGCCAAACATACACCGGAAGAATCAACTCCAGAATATACGTATAAGTACTGGAAAACAACTTAATTCCATCAATTGACCTGCTTATGCTCAATGATAAACCATGGAAACTTCAACAAGATGGCGCTACTGCGCATACTGCATACTATACAAAAGAGTGGTTCAACGATAATAGTATCATGACAATACCGTGGCCTTTATACTCACCTGATTTAAACCCGATTGAAAACATTTGGGCTTGGATTGACCGTGAATTAGCAAAGGTTCAAATTTCCGCACTTACTCAGCTGAAAGAATTCCTTAAGGAGACCTGGTAGTAAGTCATGTGCAAAAACTTTGTTGAGTCTATGCCTAGAAGAGTTCTTAGTTGTATTAAAGCAAAAGGCGGATACACAAAATATTGATTGGTTCATAAATTACGCCTTCTAATGTATCGTGCGTCTAAATTTATGAATAATTTTTTTTGTCTAATTTTTTTAATACCATGTTGTTGTACCTAATTATTACTTGGTATTTCATTTTTTTTGTAAACTTTTTTTAAATTTTGTGTTCTGTATGTATTTATCTAATAAATAGAAAAAAAACTAAACCAAAATCTTTTTTCGTCATTGTTTTATCGTTGAAAAACTAAAAATTTCTATTCTCCAATATGAGTGCGTCTAAATTTATGAAAACCACTGTATATATATTTATATATGTATTTTTAATAAAAAAAAATCAGAAATTAGAAGCACTTCAAATAAATTTAAATAAGGACCTAAATTGTTTAATGCTGCTTTGGCTGCTCTGCACTTGTTTTAAAATTAACTTTTTTTTTGCTGGATCCATATCACTGCTAAGGTAAAGAATAAAGCTTTGTTCACAGAAATTAACAAATCTATAACTGCCTGTAATTGGTGCAAGGAACCAACCATGTATTCGATAACCATAAAAGTTTTCTGAATCTGCTGTAGCATTGAAATGATCTAAAATTTTATAATAGTCAGGATCTCTTGGGTAATATACATTTGGTTTTTGGGTTTTAACCATATCAAACACACCTTTGAATCGAAATAGTTCATGTGATAAACCAGAAATAACTAATACAAAAAATTTAAATAAAAATCTAAATGCATGAATAAGTTTATTAAACTGACCTGAAAAATTTAATAATAATTTAATTATATGCATATTGATAAAAATTATTAGACATTTGAAAATACATAATGAAAAATAGTATTGTGATACTAAATTACTGTACTAAAAATACATATATCAAACTAGTATAAAAAAATGTGCAGTTAAATTTCGTTTTTTAGACATTATGACTGAGGCACTTTCATAACTTAGAGTCAAACTTAAAACATCTTTGAAGAACTAGATATTTTATTTGTTAAAAAGATACAGTTAAAATATTGCTAGTTCAACCATTGCAATTACTAAAATGGAGCATATTTAATTAGTATATTGAAATGTAAAGTCTTTTATTTATTAAACTTATAAATATAATAATTGTTGAGTAAATAATAAAGATGTATGCTCAATAAAAATAATTAATTTGGGCAGATATGGGTTGAACAGAAAATTTCTGTTAACATCTTTTCTTTTTTTATCTAAGAACTGGTTTAGATAAAAGCCTATGTTACATTACTTACTGCCTAGGATGAGAAATGTTGGTTTTTCAACACTATTTGTTTATGTCTGTTATATATATATATATATATATATATATATATATATATATATATATATATATATATATATATATATAACAGACATAAACAAATTTGTTGTCGCATGCTTGGCTTGGGGTATACATACGCAACAATTTGCTTATTTGTAGTGAAATTAGGTTTGAATCTTATGACCAATCTTTTATTCTTTTTATTCTATTTACCTTTTCGCTAATATTGTAGTTATTGGCAACTTTAATGCTCATCACACTGAATAGTTAGGCTTTAATGTGTATGACTTTGCTGGCATTAAAGTCTACAAAGTTTGCATTTACCAATATCTTACTCAAATACTTATTTTGTGACTATATAGTTAATCCTTTTTCTCTCTTTGGTTGGTTGTGACGATGTAATGATCTCTTTCAGCCTTTCATCTCGTACTTCTTTTTAGAACTTTCCCTATCATTGCATTTCTTACTACTACCCTAAAGTTTTACCCTGAGTTTTATTTTCCTGTATACTGGAAAGTAATTTCTGTTGTTCCAATGATCAAAAACTTTGGGGAACTTTATGACCTCCCCAATTATCATCCAATCAGTCTTCTTTTTGTTATTAAGAAAGTCTTTGAGTCTTTCATTAAAAGTTTTTACATGTCATCTTGAGTCATATAACTTACTGTCAAACAATCAATACGGTGTTGGATCTTTTTGCTCTCCCACAAACTTATAAACTACTTAGACTGAAAGACTTATTGTGCATTAAATAGAGGCAGAGAGGTTAGTGTAATAGCTCTTGATATATATATAGAGTTTTCAACAAAGTTTGGCACACTGGTCTTTTCCATAAGTTTTTGAGGTTATCAAGTTGTTTGGTTCTAACCACTTAATTAAATTTATCCTTGAAGAACAACACTCTTCTTTATTTTTAGTACAATCTGGGGTTGTTTAAGATTCTGTCCTTGGTCTTTTTTTGTTTTTTTATCTAAATTAATGATCTTTTAATCAATCTTACATCTATAGTCGATTGTTTTGCTGATGACTCAACATTATCCTCCTGCTTTGACATAAAGTTTTCTTTTTACGATTGCTTAGAACCCGTAGCCGATGATGAATCTAATCTCATTTCTGTAACAGATTAAGGCTCGCAGTGCCTAATAAAATTTTACTCTAACAAACTCAATTATTTATTGCAAACAATTATCGGAATACTGTCAACATTTCTATATCAATGTGTAGCAACCTTCTCCTGAGTCTTCCTTTTTAAGGCTTCTTGGATTATCGTTTACTACTGTCCTCTCATGGACACCATATATGTAATCATTTTCTAAAATAGATATTGCTAAGGTTGCTTCTCTTTATCGTGTTTGCCATTTTCTTAACCCTGCTTCCATTTTTTGATTCTACAAATCTTTTATTAGCTCCCGTATAGAATACTGTTGTCATATTTGGGCTGGTTCTTCAAATAATGCTCTTTCTCTTCTAAACAAAGTCCAAGAAAGGATTGTAAATGTAGTAGGACCCATTCTATCTGCTAAGCTTGAGCCTATTTTCCGTTGTCGTAAAGTTGAATCTCTTTCTCTTTTCGATAATTATTATTATGGTTGGTGCTTAAAAGAGCTGTTATCTCTATTTACATTAACTAAAAAATGTTCTAGATTGACTTGTTACTTAGCAAAGTCTTTTTATTTTAATGTATCTTTTTCTGCATGCTCTATAAACTTTTATTCTTACAGTTTTTTTTTCCCGCACTTTAAGCCTTTAGAATTCTTTCCAAACTTCGTGTTTTCCTGACTCATACAACATTTATCATTTCATGTCATCTGTCAACCGTTTACTTTCTCTAAACTCTATTCTATTTTTCTTATAACTCCTAACTTATTTGTGGTTTATTCCAGCTTTTTTGGGAGTGAATCAGAATATTAAAAAAAGTTAAAAAAATCCATTATTATTGCCTTTGATAGACAACACTCTTCTTTATTTCTAGCAGTTTATTGGAAATAAAAATACCATGTTTTATTCTAATATCTGTGTTCAGTAATGGTTAAGTTAATGAACTTATAAATAATCTCAGCTCTAAGTTATGAACTTTGTAATCCAATTATGAAAAAAAACATCATTTTAAAATCGATTGGAACATGCAGCTGATCTTAAATCTGATCTCTTTCTTGTGACAGCTTGGGGCAGGAGGAGGGGCAGGCAGTATTTGGTTAATAAACTATTTTTTTATGCGAAAAAAGTTTTTATTCATCAAGTCTTTTTCATTGCTCCTTATTTTTAGTTTTTCTGACTCATGCAACTTTCAATTTCTACTATTTACCATTTTCAAATTTGCAAGTCTGCAATCTTTTAAATTTGCGATTCAAATTTGCAAGCCTTCTATCAGCCATTTTAATATTTTTTAGCTCTATTAATATTTTAGGTTCTAATAATAACATTTTTCAAGTTATTTTTGGACCTTGATACTTCTTTTACTTTTTACTCCTAAACTTTACTTTTTATTTATAAATACCATTGCTAAAATAAGCTTTTGTGTAACGAGCCATCTATTAAACTCCATCTAAGGCCACCTATCTAAACTATTTACACTCTGATACATTAGCATTGATACTTGTTTTAAAATTTGTTCTTATTTTATTAAAGTTTGCAGTAAGAATTATTTTCTAAACTAATTAAATTATGCTTTAAATAAATTTTATATATATATATATATATGTGTGTGTGTGTTAGTTATATTATTATTATTATTATTATAAAAGAGAAAAAATTACCTTAAATATATCTTAAATATAAAATAATAATGCATATTTAAGATATATCTAAGGTAAAGTTTTCTTTTATAACGTAGTGAGTTACATGTTTTTCAAAATCTATTTTAGTTAAATAAATTAATATTTATGTCATGCAAAATTAAAGCCATATAAAGTTGCCAGCTTAAAATTTTTTAAATAAAAATAAACTATTTAATATTAATAAAGTTAATTAATATTAATAAAGATTATTAATAAATAATCTGAATATCAGCTAAAGCTAGCTACGCTACAATAATAAATAGTTAACAAGCTAGGATTGTTACAAGAAATTTTACAAAAAATATTAATTCAACATTTTTTTGTTATTAGTTTAACTGAAATAATAAATATATTTTACCTAATTGTAAAATATTTTTTGTAAGAGACAAAGAAAAACAAAAAGTCAGCAAAAATAAAATCGCCTAAAAGGTACTATTAACTTATTCATTTGTTAGCTTGTCGCTAAATTATTCAAAGCAGAGTAGATTTTTTTTTTACATAAGATTTATAATGAAGTATCAATGATCTTAATATAAATTGCACAGTAAGTATTATTATTATTATTATTATTAGTGCGCATAGTTACGCCTATTGTTCGATATTAGTTACAGTTTTGCATTCTTTAAAATACATTATTCCTTAGTAGTTATTTTCTTTTAAGTGGTTTTCTTTTCTTAACCGATTACTTTCTTAAAGAAGTCGCGATCTTTCATGGTACGAGTTTAAAATGTTTAAGTAGACATTAGATGTTTAGTAGCTTGAAATCATAGGTAATATAAAATCTTTTTAAAATTTTATAAGTAATTAATTTATTGTAATCTTTTTTTAAATTTTTTAAATTTAAAGCTTCGTGTTATAGATGATAATATTGAAAATATAGATTACTATATTTCTTAGATGCTGTCTAGCGTTAAAAGATATTTATGGCTAGTTTCACGCTTTTACATGCTTTTAAAAATTAGGATAAAAGCGATGACAATATCTTTTTATATGAATATATTTGAATCTTTTTAAATTTTTCGTTTTCTCAATTCAAGTTATATATGTTTATAGTTTGCATATATATTTATATTATGCTCAAAATTAAAAAGTTTTTGATAAATACGTGTATGTAATGATATATGCTATATAGTTGTTTTATAAATGTGTTTTTATAGTAGTATAAAATGTATTTTATCTAATGTGAATATAATTGTTAAATGAGGTGTTTTTATATGTTATATAACATTAAAAAAACATATTGTGTTTTATAGTTAGTATATATATTTATATAATGTTGTTTCCATGATTTAAAATTGGTATGATTTGGCAAACGTGTGGAGCAACCTTGCCAGTCAAGCAATGTTACTGCTTTAGGTTTAAGTGTTGTCAAGCCTTCAATATAACAATTCTGAAAACACATATCACTATCTTTGATAATTTTTTGCGTAATGTTGTTATCTTTGGCTTATCTTTATGTTGGTGTCTGTTGTTAAAAATGATTAATAGGTAGAAATCACTGTCTTATTATTTATTTTCTAAAAGTCATTCAAGACATCATTTTGTCATAAATTTTATCATAAATTAACAATATTTAACAACTAGTACTCTGGTATCACAACAACTTTTCTCTATCAGATACATTGATTTTCAATTTATT